ATTTTTTATTTTTTTATTGTAGATCATGAATACGTCATTTCGTATACCGTCATTGATCACACGTATATACGTACCAATACCTGATAACACTATGATACTATCAACATCAATCAAAGAATCGTATCAGTTCAGTTCTAATCAAGCTGTCACTTTTGATCACTCGACTGCAGTTGGAAGTGGTCAGTTATAATTAATTACTATCTATTTGATTTTAATAAAAATAATAATTATTATTATTTTTAAATTGTTTTTTTTTTAATTTCTTCATTAGGTCATACCCACCCACTCCTGCCTGAACATGGTGAACTCATTACGAGTGGTCACATGACATTGACAGCATGCTGGGCCGAGGGAGAGGACGGTCAGCCACTCTGTCCACCTGCTATAAAGAAGAAGTATGTGTTATGTGTACATGAAAGTACCTGTACCTATTATATGCCTTTTTGAGCAATTTTTAAAATTCTTAAAAAATCTAATTTTTATCGGAATCAGTTCAAACTTGCTACACAACATAAGAACATGTATATATATCAGATAGAATTATAAAAATGAAAAATTCTCTCCTAGTCATTTTTGACAAATTTGGCCCATGACCCTGTACTATAGTACAGGGACTTTGGCCCAATTTTGAGTAGCTTAAAAAAAATTTTTTTAATCTAATTTTGATTGGAATCAGTTCAAACTTGCTACACAACATAAGAACACGTATATATATCAGATAGAATTATAAAAATGGCAAATTCTCTCCTAGTCATTTTTGGCAAAATTTGGCCTGTGACCCTGTACTATAGTACAGGGACTTTGGCCTGATTTTTGAGCAACTTTAAAAATTCATAAAAAATCTAGTTTTGATTGGAATCAGTTCAAACTTGCTACACAACATAAGAACATGTATATTTATCAGATAGAATTATAAAAATAGCAAATTCTCTCCTTTTCATTTTTGGTGAAATTTGGCCCGTGACCCTGTACTATAGTACAGGGACTTTGGCCCGATTTTTGAGTAACTTTAAAAATTCATAAAAAATCTAAATTTGATCGGAATCAGCTCAAACTTGCTGCACAACATAACAACATGCATATGTATTAGGTAAAGTTATAAAAATGGAGATTCTTTACTTTTAATTTTTGGCAAAATTTGGCCT